ACTTTCGTATATATTTGTCGGCGCAACGCTCGGCACGAAGGATAAAAAAAACAAAAAAAATCATATGTGTGCTATACGCGTGTGAAAAAGTGGAATACAACCTGATCGATACAAAAAGATCTTTCGTAAAATCGACGGTAAAAAACGTCAGTGGCATGACGCGAAGGCGTTAAAACACTGGCAATATCAATTTTTTTTTTTTTTTTTTTTTTTTTGGAACGGATGTAATTTTCGTGGCCTTTTTTCCTTCGTGCTCACTCGCTCGTTCGTCTCGATGCATTTCATGTATGTATTTTTTTTTTTATTCCGTCGTCGATATGCGATGCGGTCGCAACACGTTGTTGAAATGTTTTGTCGTATTTTTCTTATTTTCTTTCTTCTTTTTTTATTTTATTTTATTTTTTGTAAACAATGGCTCGTTAATCCTTATTTATCGACATACAATTATCACGATAAAAACAAACGACGTAAAAAGAAAGAGAAATATACCAATATACACCTAGTTATAAAAGCTCTCGATTTCGTTTTTCTTTCTTTCTTTTTGTTATTTTTCTTCTTCTTCGTAATTTTTGATATAATTCGTTAAGTATTCTCATTTCATTCTCCTTTTTTTTATCTATCTAAGTGCTATGTACATTATACGTTTATATTTATATATTTATATATATATATATACATGTAAAACGATTAATTGATTCTTCTCTTCCATATCCTTAATGATTGTATAATTAGGATTGACTATGTCTTACAGTAATCAACGAAATTACGAGTTGTCGTTATTATGTAAAATATCAAATATCGTACGTGTGTGTGTTAGATGGTATGTCCATCTCCAAGGTACCATTTTGGACGAATAGCGGTCCATCTAAACATGCTTAGCACTTTGATGAGCAAATACTTTGGAGATTACACATAAATCTAATAATATAATCTTCAGGTAATATTTAAGTATTATAGATGATTTGTTTTTTTTTTTTTTTGTTTCATAATTACAAATATAAAACATGTATATGTAAATAGAATTCTTAATTATGCGCGAACATGTTCACTTCTAATTGAGCATACAGTGAATTTCTTATCATCAGTCTAAGCCGAACTGTGTGCGGCTCCCATACACAACGGCGGTTTAACAATACATGTCTCTCTCTCTCTCGTTCTCTATTTCTTTCTCTCTTTCTTTTTTTTCTTTTTTTTTTTTTCTTTTTTTATCTTAAGCTTCGTAGAATCTATCGTGTGTTAACAAATAATCGCTGTAATGAGAAACAACAATATATGCGTACGTGCTACGGAAAAACGTTATTCCATAAAACTTTCAAACAATCTCTTCCGCGACTGAGCGATGTAACGCACACGTAGTTGCGCGCTGAGCGGGTAAAAGTATAAGTGTCTCCTATAAACAATTCCTCCAACCACACGCGAAGTGAAGCGCAGAATCCCGGAAGACCACCTCCTCGTGTCTGTGTTTCTTTTTCCCACATCCCCTTTCCCCTATCCTCCGTAATTTTTCTCTAGGAAGATTTTCATGTCGACAAAACAGATGACAAACGTGCTCTCGCGCGGAGACGCGCAATATAGAATTTCGTATATAAGCGATGCAATTATATATTTTTTTTTCTATAAATTATTATTGTGTGTGTATACATATATACACAATTATATGTATATATATATATATACACATACATATATATATATATATATATAATTGATGCGCGAGAGAATTTGTTACGCGCTGTTCCATCGGCGATGTGACGGCGAGGTCTCCGATTGAATAATAAATACGATTGTATACGAGTCGATTCGAGAAAAAACGTGACGTGTCGTTTTGGAACCCGCACTTCATTGTTCACAGCCCTTTACCGCCGATTACGCGTGCGCAAAGGTGCGTTACATGGCTCCGTTTTTTTTTTTTTTTTTTTGTTGCAATATATCCTTTCTTACAATAGGCCAAAACGTATATCGAGTTTCGTCGTCGTCGTCATCGTCGTCTCGTCGTCGTTTTTCAAAAATATATAGACTACTTAGGCTTTTTTCGACGAAGAACGAAAAGACGCGCGTCGTCTCGTCTCTCCAATCAACAGGATAATTTTCTCTCTCTCTCTTGTTTTTTTTCTTTTATTCTCTTCCGGATTTACAGCAGCGGATTTAATTACCCTTTCTAGCAAATACTTGGTTTATAGCCTAGTATAGTGAAGACCCTCATATGATCCATTTGTTATCTTCTTTTCTTTTGTTTTTTTTTTTTTTTTTTGTAGAATTTTTCTCTCTTCTTTCTCGACCGCGTGAAACACTGAGACGTTTTTATCGTATAACTATTTACAATCGTTCAATCAATAATTCGTAATCGGAAATAAATGCAAAAATATATATGGTATATGGTATGAACATTTAGTTCGAGCTAATACAAATGTCCGCGTCGCTCAATCGAACTGTCCGCGTGGAATATCGCATAGATAAACGAATCGCTTCGCTTGTCGCGGATCCGGTTCTTCTGCCGCGATCTTCTTTCTCGACCCGTCATCGACTGAATTATCTTTTACTCTTAACTAAAAATCCATTACATATCAATTAAACTTATGTACTATTGTCTTTGTTCGAGATATCACTACGCCAAGACATTCACTCGTATGACTCCGTTTTATTTGTTTTTGTTTTTTTTTTTTTTTTTCTTTGCGTACATCTTTTTTCCGACAAAATTTCTCCGTCTGTGTCACCGATCGCGCTATAATCTCGCGACTCTATATCGAATCACGATATCTCGACTTGCGATATAATAAAGTGAGCATACGATAACACGACGTGCTACATCTTCGTAATACGCACGCGTCATGGTTTTTTGCAAATTGTGAAAATTCAAATTCGTGGAGATGCATCGTGAGTGCATTGGCAGCGCAAGATCGATGCGCGCTCGTGTTCACGTGGCGAATGCAAAATTCGGATCACCAGGAAGGTCGAAATTAAATATAAAAAACGTGTGTATATATGTGTATATATATATATATATGTACATATACATATATATATATATATATATATAACAAAGGACCGATCGGTATTCGCTTACGATTAACATCGTCAGATCGTACATACTGCGTACTACGTTTTTTTTTTTTTTTTTTTTTTTTTAAATCGCATTTGTAGAAAATGAATCTATGTATTTTTATCGACACGCGATCAAAATGTGGACTACTTGTATTGACTTTTTCAGGATTGGCAGTGAAAAACTTTGGGTTTTTGCAAAAATTCATCATTCTTCAAAAAAGAGAAGACCGAGACAACAATCGCGGCGCGCGCTCTTGTGCGCGTTAACGCGAGTTAACTCCAACGCAAGTAATTAAAGCGCGAATGTGTGCGAAGCTACACGATATGCAAATTGTATATAGCCGACACACGGGCGTTTGTGTCCTCTGTGCAAACACGAAACGAACTAACAAAGTTCTCTCTCTCTCTCTCTCGCACTGACTTTTCAACTCGCGAGACTTGCACGCGCGGAGACTCTCTCAAGTTCTCGCGCACAATCTCTCTTTCACGTACTAATGTATCTATAAAGCAGTCTCTGAAGTCGGTTGAAGGGGTCACAAAGTCAAATATTAGGAGAAAATTCTGCTTTTAATTAAGTTGCAACGAAAAACACTTTTGCAAACACTTTCGGTGCGCGCTTAGAAATGCGGAAATTTTTATCAATTTGTCAATTTATTAATTTAATTTAATTTAAATTATTTGATTTGTATTTCTCTATATATATATATATATATATTTAAGGTCGCAAAACACATTTTTTATTATCAATTCTATTTCTCGTCTCAAAACATATATACCGAAGCAGTTCTCTTTTGTTTGCAATTGACTTCCGGGGGGGGTTTTCTCTTCTTTCTTATCCTCGCGGGGATAAAATCGCGTGAGATACCGAACGCTCTCGTGAAAATGCGAGACAAAATAAACTCGTTAAAATATTCCCGTTATTTAGCGGACTAAAGATGGCTATAATATATCCTATGGGCATTAAGCGTTTCAAGCGGGGGAAAGAAAAAAAAAAAATGTCGAGATCGCGCGAGCCCGTCACATTTAGCGCTAACTTAATTTTCAGTAGAAGACCGTTAAACTCAAATAGGATCATAAACGACACGGACGACGGATGGGAAAGAAAAAAATAAAGTAGGTTAATCTCGCCGCTATTAACGCTCTACGATTTTCCGAGAGAGCTCCTCTTTTGTAATAAACGATTGTCACGTTTTCCTCAGGCGTCAGAGATTGCCAGGAATAAACTAACTCCCCGAAACGGGAAAGTAATCAATGGACGGTCATGACGGATATATATACCCACTTTTTTTTTTGGCAAAAAGCTGTATCTAAACGGGGCATTATCGACGATCATCAATTATTTACTTGATATTGTTATTATTTAATGGGAAATCAGCTTCGTTCGTGGATCGTGCGCGATAATCGTAAGCATGAAAAAACTTCATACCGATGAGATCAATAACACCCTCTCGAACTAGGATAACCAATATTGTAATATTTTACGAATTGGAAGACAGATCTGAATAAACCTTGTATAGAAATGTGAGCTGTTTGGTGCGAAACATTTAAATTCCGAAGATGGAGAAATCCGTGTGTGTGTTTTGTGTATAAGAGAAATATATATATATATATATTTCTATATATATAAATATATAGAA